AAATTCTAAAAATAAATAGCTGTTAACTATGAATATTATACCTTTCGTATTTTGCCCGCTATTTGGCCATTTTTTAAAATTATTTATTTTCATATTATTTCATTTTAATTAACAACTTTGGATAATAACAATTTGCCAAATTCTTCAACTTGGAGTTTGTCAAAGCGTTCCAATTTAACTTAGTGATTAATTGTAAATAAATAAAATTAAACCACTGGTCCAAAGACGTCAGCGATTTTATTTACTGCAGAAAACACTTAAATCCTTAAATGTACTTTTTATGCATTTTATTTAATTGAAATAATCTATTTTGGAGTTCCAAGTCCATCTGCAGTTTCTCGTTATAAGTCAAAGTCCATTGGAATTTCATGTTGCTATTCGAATGCCTTGAACCATTATTTATTGGCCAGGGTTTAGCATATTTATTACTATCCCAAATTCAGAATCTGTCATCAATCTACATTCTGTTGATCATTATGTGTTCTACATTGTTTCATTCAATAAATGCCTTTTATTGTAACATTTCAAACCGATATTTCTCATTTATAAGTCGACGTTAGAAATTTCCCCGATCCCCGACTTAAATTACGTAACATCTCGACCCCAGAGTTTTGTATTTTAAGGTTCTTCAATTTTAATTGGTATTGTACGCTGTATAATTATTCAAATGGAACCGCCTAGAATATTTCGAAACTTAACATTCGCTAGAATTGCAGTTGTTGTAGAGCAAGTTAGTTTCTGGCTTCACAATTCTATGCTTAAAGTTACAACTTACTTCAGTCAATTGTTCAGATTATTTAGTTGCAACTCTAGAAAGTTTACCCATTTTAGTTTAGTACAGAAAACTGGTTGAGCTTACAAATATGTGGTAAGGACAGTAAGTCTAGTAGTAGTTGTAAAATGGAAGTATCATCAATTTGGCCACGTTAGAGAAGTAGCTAAATTGCTTTATGCAACTTTTAATTTATTTGTTGTTAGCTAAGATCTAATACTAGTTTTGCTGCCTTTTAAACAGACGAGAAAACTTGAGGTCCAATATATCGAATTGAAAACTTCACTTTACAAAACTTATTTATGCACTTTTCCCGGTTTTTCTCTGTAGAATTATTTAATTTGAGTTGTATTTATTTTAAGTGGTTGATTTAGTGAGATCATGGAGCTTGCAATAGCTTCCAACTTATTTAATTCTGGTTGGTTTATTTCAAGATGCTTCCTTCTGGCAATATTCTCTTTTACGTTTCTCCTTATGAGGCCTATTCCTGGGATTAGGGGAGCACATTAAATTTTACGACATCGTTTTGAAGAACTTAAACTCCCCATTGTAAGTAGAAAAACAGGTTTATGTTAACTGTTTCTCGAATTTCAATTGATATTGTCCTCGGCAAATTTATACGGGATGAAGGGAAATATTTCATATCACCTTAATATGTTTTATTATGCGCAGTTGGTTTTAAATAAATCGGGGTCAGCTATTTCATCCACAAAAATGTTTTTTTTAGCAGCGGATCCATTTGGTCACCTTTTTTTGACTAACTGGCGGTTTTGTTATTAGTTGAATTCAAATAATACTGATGTTAAAGAACACATTTTCTGTACAAAGATTATAGAAGAACATAGAATGCTGAATAGTCGTTAAGGGAGAGTAGGCCACCACAAGACTTTGCAATATTTTCTTTTACAATAAGTGGAATCATCTATTACCCCATTTGGATAATACTAGCACAGGGTTGCTTCGGTGCTAAAAGTTTCTTCCTGTCCGAATCAGTCTTGATTGAGATTTTAACAGAGTTGCTTGTGAGCGAACACATTTTTTTTCACGTGTAGGTATTATTCTGATCCAAATTTATTAGTGAAGACATAAAGCCGAAGGTATGAAATTTAAGTTGTAGATATAGGGTTGTAAGTGATTTTTAATTGCATAAGGAATATTTGTGATTTTAAATAGAATTTACCAGCAATTTAAAAAGAAAGTTATAACGTGTAAATGGGCTGCCAGGAGACGATATCGGTAGCAGCATCGGAGTAGTATCGGATAAATAGACTCTCTGATATCAATAAAGATTATTTGGAATAAAACTGTGTTTTGGTTCGCTCAGCTAAATCAAAGTGATTAAATGTAGTAAAAATACATGTTTTCTGAATAAGTAAAGAAGTAGGGTGAAACGAAACCTTGGTTGCTTTTTACAGCTCCAAACATGCCTACTTTATTACCGAGTAATATTCGAATTTATTCTGGCGACATGCTGCCAACTTAATTAGATTTATTTCCATTGGGTTTATTTACGTACGTTTTTCAGATAGTTGTTTACGTTGAGAAAAAGTGAAACAAATGACTTTCAATTATGAAAATCGCGAATCTGACAATGGCAAGGGCATTTTATAAACTTTGAATTGTTTGCTTAACGAAATTGTTGGCTAAATGTAACGGCTTTAAATAGAATCCTGCAGTAACACATCAATAAGTTCGTTGAGTGATACACATTATCACCTTAAATGCACATTCTGGTTTTGGCAACAACAATAAATTCAACAAAACAAGCGAAACTAAAGCAGAAATAATGCCAAATTGACTTGGGCCTGCGATTTTGCAAAACTATTTCGCACGTCCGAAGAGATTCAATATTGAAAATATTCTGGGGTCAATCAGCAGAAAAAAAGTGTAGAAGAAGAAGCCGATAATTAAATTCGAAGCTTTTCGACCTTTGTCCTGACGATGGCATGAGTCAGATCTTTGGCAGGCTTGAAATGTATGTGCAGCATAATTAAATATTTCAGGCCGTGATTTTTTTCTTTGACGAAAAATGCTTAAAATTAAATGATAATTAAACAGGAAGATTTTATTAATTGAATTTATGCTTTTGCGTCGTTAACGAATAACAACTACTCAGCGCAACAACTCCAGGATTCCGGAAAATTGTTATGAAACTTTGCACATATTGAGAGCCAAGTGTCGTGCAAAAATGATGAAAATATCCAGTTGCTCTTTGCTGTGGATTCGAAGATGTG